CTTCCCCACGTAGGCACAACGAAGAGTGCGAATGCCAAGTGAGCGCGGTGAGGGAAACAGTTATCAAATGGGAAGTGAACCTATACTGTTCCTATTGGTCCTTTAACAAGTCGTAGGTGAGCGGTAGTGGGCATGTGGTGCGCGCATTAGCGTGCGTAGCCCAACTGGTTTTGATATAAGAAGAAACATTTTTTTTTGTTCGAACAGGATTGGTTGCGCAGCTTGCTTCTGTAGATAGCAGTTGCCAAGAAATCGGTATTTTTTCATTGCAGGCAAACGATCAAGCGTGTGAGAGAGTCCCGTCTTTTCCTGAACGAGAGCAATATCAGCCCACGGGGAATGCATCCACATGGCCCTCTCAGTCCCATGAGGGATCTGGCTATCTTCCTTCAACCAGCTATAGCCATGCTATGCCAACAACATGTGCTTCGGCTCCTGGCCCTAGCTACAGTTCCATGGCTTTTACATCAAATAATACTTGGAGTTCGACATATCCTCCTGAATCAGGTGTGGAATTTTTGAAAGATGTTTGCATCACAATTGTCGAGTTTGATTGTAATCATATCTCCTTAGATGTTTGCTAAACCTATCTGTAAGGCAAACCATTAGTCACCTTTGTATAGTCTTAAGAACTTCCTTATATCTACTTGCCTCCCAATTCAGATGCTCCATCTAATCTCGAACAAGCTCTCAGACCCAATATGTCTGATCCATGTCGGGTCAGTCATAGTGACTTGTGGAGCGGCATTTTTGCTGAGGGACCGCCAACATCGCTTGGAACAAACGCTTTCATGTTGGTTTTTGCGAGCTCTTGGATACCGACTTTTTCACTTGTGCCAAAGGCACACCGTTACGGTTTTGCATTCTGGTGAACTTCATTTATCAGGGATCCGAAGCAAGGAGATGAATCATCTCGTACTTCCTCAAAAGCGAGGCGCAGCAATCGTCTGAAGACGGGAACTATTCGAGGAGTATTGGAAGAGGAGTTCGACTTGACAGAAATTGATCAGGGGCTGCAGTATGACTGGGTGATTTTGTATTCCTTGAGATTTCAGCATAGGTTCATCCACTTTATTGATATTGATTATTATCAATCAAGAATTTACAGGCTGAAATAGCTATGGCATCCTATAAAACTGGAAACATCGAAAACGGGTACAAAATGGTGTTGGCAATGGAGTTGCTAGATGCATGTGTAAAGATAGGGGAGAAGATGCTAATTTTCAGGTTGGTTTGAGGGGTTTTCTCTTTTTATTTTACCTCATTTAATTCACTTCAAAGACTATTGTATAATAGTTCAAAGCTCTTCATTGGACAGCAGCGTTCATTCATTACTGTGCATAAAATTGCAGCCAAAATTTAACTGCTCTCGATCTTATCGAAAGCTACCTGAGTCGACGACCACTGAAAACACCTACTGAGACGACGAGCTGGATGAGGAGTATAAATTACTTCAGTGAGTGGCTGTACACCTTACTATCCGTGATGTCGTTCAATTTCGATCTTGACAAGTTTGTTCAATTACTACCCTCTTTGGTTAAAATAATATCAATTGACTCAAATATCCGCAGTTTTTAATGGTAAAATATCGAAGTGAAAGTAGAATGTGTGTCGCTGCTTGTGTTTTCTGAGGTCAACCATCTAACTTTGTCTTCTACTGAGAATCGACTCTTATCTCGGATATAAAATCGTATTAAAACAGTTTTCGAAGGAAAACTTTTTGTTTTTATTTCATGATTGAATATATAAAGTGTTATAACAAAGACGGTCGCAGGAATAGTCAGGTTGAGGATGAAAGGGTGATTTTGAGATATATTTTGAATCTTTTGATTAGGGTTCATTGATTTAAGAAAACGATATTGCATTTTCAGGGCTAGATGGAGCGACACCTGGCTCGGAAAGAGAAAAATTAATCAACCGCTTCAACTCGGACCCGAGCGTCTATCTGTTCTTGATATCAACACGAGCGGGATCACTTGGCATTAATCTGGTCAGACAAATTGTCTTTCGATTTCTTCTTTTCCAGGGGCTCGTTCTTGGAGGTTACAGATCAAACTAGCAACTTCACACACCTGAAGCTTTTGAAAAAGAAAAAGTACAATTTGAATGTTTAGGTCTCTGCAAACAGGTGCATAATATTCGATGCTTGTTGGAATCCATGCCATGATGCACAGGCGGTTTGTAGAGTGTATAGGTTGCTTTTTCGTTGTCAATTAGATTTTGTTCTTTTTTAGCAGTATAGTGATCCGGTTATATGAAGAATTTGTAGATATGGACAACAACGTCGCACCTTTATCTATCGTCTCATTCTGAACAATTGTATGGAGAAGGCAATATTCAACCGACAAATTAGCAAGCATGGGCTCCAGCGTGAGTAACTTCATTCAATTTAGCCTAATTCTTTTCGACGTGTTTACTCTTTCCAGAGCGTGTTGTTGATGAAGCACAAGTGGATGCAAACATTACACAAAAAGAGCTGGAAACGCTCTTGATGTATGATGTGAGTTTCTTAACTGTACACATTATCTTCATTCAAAACTGAGAGGGACGAAATATTTGAAGTGGCCGTTCTTGAAGTTCAGCCATAGTTCGTGTTATGATATGTGTACCTCGATATGGTGACTCACCGACAGTTCTCAGAAAGGACGTCGTTTTTGGTCTACCAACTCTGAAAAAAGGTGTACGATTCACGATGCAATAACTGTTTTATGTTGCTCATTTTGCATTTGCTCGAACCCTTCGCACCGTGGGATCACCGCGTCAAGTGTTCCGGCAAGAGCAAGATGAGAAATGCAAAACTGTTATTNATCGCCGTTACTGTGACAATGTAAACCAGATGCCATGGCAGAAAGATCTTCTTTAGAAACTTACAGTTTTCTCTATTAACCACTGATCCCGCTAAAGCACTTGTAGTACTATTTCTGTATAATTCTATTCTTAAAACTCTACTTGTCAAGGAGTCATTGGACGTAATCCATGAAAAGTGGGACACAACGCGGTGGGATTTCGGCGACGAAGTTTTAGAATCTGTTGTGAAGAATAGGAGCGAAATGCTTGCAGAGGTTCGATAATTTTACTACTTCTTTGTGTTCACTTTGAAGTCACCAATGCATAGTTGGCTCTATTCTCTGCCGGCCAACTCATTGTTGTCAACATAGAAGGCATTGTTGGACGAGCGAATGATCAACGGAATACTCGCAGAAGAATTTACTTGCTTATAAAAACAATGAAGTTTCAGGAACCATTCCTTCATGAGTCTTTAATGCTCGAAAGGGAGGAAGGCTTGAGTGAAGAGGAGAAAAAAGAAGCTGAGCTATGGTTCACTAGAGAGCAATATAAAGATGTAAGGGTTACACTTATCTTCCCATCACATATCGTTCCTTGGTTCTTTCTTTCTGCTTTTAATGATACTATTTTGGGCTCTTACCCTACCGTACACTGACACACCTTCCTTCGATTCCGGTGATCACTATGGCGGCTATTCAAGAGCTCTAAGAGGTCATCCTAACTGGATAGGCACTCCTCATTTCAAGTAGGACTTTTTAATTTTCGATTACTTATTGAATTCTTCTCAATTGCTTTCTTCAGTCCCATGACGGATCCTCCTCCTCTGCGATCGACTCCTGTACCACATCATCTTGATCGTGTTCCAGTGCCGTTAACCGGGCAAGTATTTCTAGCTGTACAACTCATAATTAGTACAAGCATGGTTATACTATAACTAAATCTTAATTTCTCTCAGGAATCCTGGATATCCCATGAGCTATCCACAATCCAGCGGTGAGACGTGTAAGTTTCCCTTTCGATTGTTTGCAGTTTCATAGACTTGGAAGGTTCATAAGATTCGTTTATTAATAGCTCTAATTTTGGATCTTTAGTAGGCCCTAATCGCATGTTCAATCCGATGGAGGGTCCTCGTCGTGTTCCACCATTTCCTGGAGCTGCTATCGCTTTCGAACCAGCATCAAATAGTAGAGGAAGTGTTCAGCTGATTAGAACTGATCGAGGTTCTGTCATATTCGTTTTGTTTTCTTCCCTTTGTCTTGAATGGATTAATGTTGACGTTCGCACTTATTTTGAATGTCACTTTTTATCCTTTTTATTACCATATTTCAGTTCTAAGTTTGCCAGTCGTATCTCATCCATCAGAACGACGTGAAATTCCTGCAAATACCCAAGCTATGTTGGTCCGCAGTGCTGATGGAGTGTTTTTGCGACTCAGCAATGGACTACTTTTGAATGCTCAAAACTCAATATTCGATTCAGGTAAATTTAATTGAGGTATACTTGATGGTGCTTAATCACATGAATTGGTGTAGCTTGACGCAGAATATGTTTGTTTCAGTTCCCAATCGGGTACCTCCATTGGTCACAATACCGCCTGATCCACCACGACCACTGAGACTTCCTCCAGCGTTGAACCCCGTTCCCGATATAATCGAGCTGGACTAGTTACAAAGCTTCCCCGCAAACATGAAGTTGATAATCTGCTGTTTCACGACTGGTGGATTTCACGGTGAGCAATTGCTCCGATGATCCAAGTGAAGTAGCCTGTCCTTCATTCAACGTGAAGGATCCTAGTGGACTGGATAGAATTGGTTGGTCAGTGGAATTTCGGTTGCCTGCTAGGCGCAGAGTATTTGGCTCTTATTCCCATCGAGCTACTTCCTCTTTATGCATTTCATTTTAATCTGCTTTTTACGTGATGGGTGTAGAACTTTGTGCAATGTGTCCATTGCGATAATGTTATTATAGTGAATGTTTTTGTTTTACCAACCAAAAGATAACCGGTGTCCTTTATGCGATTTCATAGACGGCTTTAAAACCATGAATACGGTCCTAAGCAGGATGTCTGCTTTTAAGTTTGCAAGTTGATTTTATGGTAAAGCAGCGAATAGATATTGTTCGTTATGCCTACGTCAGACGGGATATCTGCCATGCCATCTGAATCTGTTTTTCTTTCGAACAGCGCTTCTTGTGTTTGTAGGTTTTGAATGGTCTTAGCTATTACTCCTTGATTTGTGAAATTGTGTAGAAATTGTACATATCTGCTCCACACTCCTTAAATCTCGAATCTGTTGTTTCACGCCGCGTAGATCTCGTCAGCACTCGAAGAGTTTAGTGTTTAATTTTTTGTTCTTGTGTCAACTTTTTTTTTGATTTTTATTGTCTTGTCCTGGAACATCTTTTGTATTCACTTATTTAGTGCAGTCTGGTATTTATATGTTTCCAAAGTTATAGTTAAATATGATTATTAAGAATTGGGAAACAACATGAACTTACATTGAAGAGTGAAGTGCTAGCGCTTTTCCTTAAGCCTTGCTATATGGAAGTGAGTTTGAGGGCGAAAGCTTTTAAAAGGTAGGGAGAACGGCTGAGTTCCTTTCGTTGTGTAAGACACCATCGAATTGGTCCTTAAACTGCATTCAAAACAAGTGGATTTGGGAAAGATTAGTTATCTTACCCGATAGCTACGTAGATACTAGAAAAAGGGCATTGTCAGCACGATCAATGTTCGAGGACGGGGTTTTTCCTCTCCGATGGCTTGTGGTAGCAGTCACTGCCCAATCCACTACTTTACCCCTCGGGCATGTCGGGCACCAATAAGCTGGCCCATTGGGTATGCAAGGCCTCATTGCTCGATGTGGATATAGGCCTAAATCTCGGATCTCGGACTTTGTCCCTACTAGTGCACGGCTTGGCTCAACACTACCACGGCTGTAAGAAAGTGATAAAAGGTTGTTGCCTATCTGATAGATAATTCCTTCAAAAGGATTAAGTCTTTGCACGTTGATCAATTCCGTCCGAGGGACGCGTCCCTGCATCCCTCGGACGGGATTGATCAACGTGCAAAGACTTCCGTGCTGAAACGTAGTGGCGTAATGAATGCGTATACAGCCTAGGGAATGAC